CTTGAGCCATAGGCGCTGAGCCAACCCAGCTATTTTTTGTTGCAATTTGGCCGGGTTTGGGTTCAAACCCGCCACCCTCGGTATATGGGGCCGGTGCCCTACTCACTGAGCCACAGGCACCGCCTATAAATGATATTTTAATGCAGTTGTTTTAAAAATTGAAACAAATGCAAATAATCCATTTTGAACAAAATACCAGAGTTTTAAATAAAGATAGGATCTGATTGTGTAGCCCCTTGACATCTACAAGATATGCTTTTAATGACACTGCCTCCTTAGAGGTCTAAGTACATAAATCATGGGGCTTTGGAGCCAGATAGGTCTTGGTTTGACTCTGGTTCTGACAGACGTGTCAGCTGTGTCTTTGGAAAAGTTAACAATCCTCTCTGAACTTCAATTTCTCATCTATAGAGAAAATAAGAAGCACAGATCAACTTAGACAAATGTCCTAAGGTTAGATGAGATGTCCATCATAGCGCCTGGCACCTGACACACAGTAGATACTGGGTCGGAGGTAGCTATTACCATCATTATTGAGCTGGCATGGACAAAGCCTCCTGTGTGGGTAGAGATGGCAGATGGGTTGGGCGAGGCCAGTGGTCCAGGCACCCAGGCTGATTGCTGTGTGCCAGGCTCTGGGCTGGCCCTCAGTGGAGCCTCACCACAGCCTCAAGCACTGTGATCCTGCCCATTTATACAGATAAGGAATCTAAGGCTCAGATGTCAGTGACTAAGTACATGTGATCCCATAGCCGGGACGTGGCAGTGCCTGGCAAGGGGGGCGCTGCATCCCGGGCCTGTAGCATCATCTTGGCAAGGCTCTTGGGGGTGTGGCCTTGGGGTAGGGCTCTCCACAGAGAGAAGGGCCAGAAGGTGGACAGAGCTAGTGATGTGCTCTCTTGTTTCAGGCTGCCTTTTCCACCTGGGGACCGAGTGACCTTCAACGGGAAGGAGTGCATTTGCCAGAAGTGCTCTCTGCCCACATCGGTGGGTAACAGTGCGCACCTGTCCCAGGGCCTCCGGAGTAAGTGGATATTTGGTGGGGGGAGGGTGCTAAACGGCAGGGTGGGGAGGCCTGACAATGGAGATGGTCCCAGTGAAGAGCTATGGATAAACATGAGGAAGGAGGCCAGGAGCAGAAGTGTCTGGGGCTCTCCTGCCACCCAGCCCTGGCGCAGGCTGTGCCCGACCCCGTGTAGCACTCCTCCCTTCCCATCCACCCCCCACTCTTGCTTTTGCCCAGCCACAGCCCACCTCCTCTGAGAAGGCTTCCTGGTCTCCTCCGTCCCTCTCCCTCTATCATTCAAGCTCACCTCCCCTTGGTTAATTCCAGACCACCAAGAAACCCTATGCGGGGGCCGGGAGCCGATAGACAAACACTGAGCTTTGGGCTCTTGTGGTCAAGGGGTCTTGGGTTAACTGCTCCAAATCCTAGGTGCTTGGCTAGAGGTGTATGCAGTAGGTGCTCAACATATGCTTCTTGCATGAGAAAGCAGGAGGCTGCTACTGTAAAAGAACAAAGGCCTGCTGGAGAGTCAGGGGTCTGTGGGTATTGGGCTGAGTGACAGCAAGGTGGGGACGAGAGAGAGGCTGAGGCACTGGGGTGAGCCCAGCACATGGCCCTGCTGCTCCTAGGTGCCACTGCAAAGCAGCATTTTCAGAGCCCACCGTGAGTGCTGTGGTCACTGTGGTGTCCCCAGAGGCCGGGCCATGTGTCCTGCGACAGAGGGCAAGTTTCTATTGATATCCAGAACCAGCCCCTACCTGCAGTTAACTTCCTCTCCATGTCAAACACCTTGTTCTCTCGCCTGTCTGCTATGTTGAAGTCTCTACAGTGACTGACTCTACTATCAGCCTCCCTGGGGGCTGGTGATCATTTTACACTGTGAGATGAAGAGAAGCCTCCATCCTGTGGGGAGGCAAAGCTCTCAGGACCAGCTGGTGAGCTTGCCTCAGGGCTTGCTAGGGGAGTCCTCCATTCAAACATTTATCTCCAGCTGAAGCCTGCATTGATCGAATTTTTGAGAATTTGCTTCACAAACAATAGTACTATTATGAATAAATACCAAATAGTAATCTAGAGCAAAATTTAAAAAGGGGAAGGAGTATTACTTTTATACAGTTTGTTCTGAGCTTCCTGGCAGCCAAAGAAAAAGGGAAACATGATGGACCCCACAATCACATCTGAGATTTAAAAATATTCTTGGTAAAAAGCTATTGCCCTTTCCAAATGTAAATTTATTAAAAATATGAAATCTAGGCTTGGCACCTGTAGCTCAGAGGCTAGGGCGCCAGCCACGTATATCAGAGCTGGCAGGTTCAAACCCAGCCTGGGCCTGTCAAACAACAATGGCAACTACAACCAAAAAAATAGCTGGGTGTTGTGGCAGGTGCCTGTAGTCCCAGCTATGTGGGAGGCTGAGGCAAGAGAATCTCTTAAGCCCAAGAATTGGAGGTTGCTGTGAGCTGTGATGCTCGGCACTCTACCAGGCCAGACATAGTGAGACACTGTCTCAAAAAAAAAAAATCAAATATTTTTAAAAGTATACTTATTTTTAAAAGTAAGTAAGTACATAAATAAATAACAAATCTGCATTTTCCAAGAACAAAAAACACCTGATCCCTTGGTGGTCTAAAAGGTAACCTGCTCCTCCTCCCAGCCCATGGTGAGAATCCTGAGCTTAGGGCCTTTTTCTGTGCTTAGAAAACATTAACACAAATCACCAGCCCTTGGCTCCTGTGTCGATATCTACAGATTCCCATCCCTGCTCCTTTTGTCTCTAGAGTAGCCTTCTGGGGAACTGGGAGCTCTTTTCTTCTATAGGCACCAAAGTACCCTAAGTCTGGTGGGTAGGGTGGATACCCAGTGTCTGTAGGGCAGTGTAAGGGCTGGGGTTTGGGCCAAGACCTTTTAAGTCCAAAACAACAACCAATGGCCATCCCAGGAGGTGGCATTTGTTCTGATACTTCAGACTTGGGTTAAATTCTGAGTAGGTGGGCATAGGAGGGAGGGCACTACAGGTGAGAACCCCTACAGGGTTCAGAGACTAGAAAACTATGGAATGTGCTGGGGACACCAACCAGACCTGGGTGAGTGGACAAAAGGACTTCTGTGTAGGATGGAGAAAAGGAGTGACACCAGAGAGCTGGAAACTTGATGGGGCATACCTCCAAAGCCATGTCGCAGAGCTCTCAGTGCCTCCTGGAGGCAATGAGGAGCCACAGATGGTCACAGAGCAAGGGAGTGCCAAGGTCAGTCCTGAGCACTAGTGCCTGGGTGAGAGAACACAGCCTTTCTACAGCGGGGATAGCCTCAGATAGCTGCCTGCGTGGGCTATCCTCCCTGAGGAAGTAGACAGCGGCTGGCTATTTAGGTAGAGCTCTAGCTAGAGTTCCTTAGCCCTGAGCTGCCCTGAGCCCATCTGTAGCTTAGTAACAAGAAATGCTTCAGGCTGGGCCACATGAACTTCCTTTCCAGGGGAACACACCCAGCATCCCACATGCCTGAGCCTCCCCATTGTGCTGGGCAGGGTCCTTTCATCTCTGAAGTTCTGCTCTTCCCCATGAGGCCCCTTCTTCTCCCCTCCAGCTCTTCCTGGCTCTCTAACTCTGAGCCTGTTGCTGGTTGGGAGCTGGTAACCAGACATCAATCACAGGGTGGCCTTTGGAGAGGCCAAGTGCTATGTTGACCAGGGGGCAGTTCTGAGCACTCACCACTGTGGCAAGATGTAATCCTGTGGCTCGGCACCTATAGCTCAACCGGCTAAGGCGCCAGCCACGTACACCTAAGGTGGCGGGTTCGAATCCCCAGCCCGGACCCGCCAAACAACAATGACGGCTGCAACCAAAAAATAGCCTGGCGTTGTGGCGGGCGCCTGTGGTCCCAGCTACTTGGGAGGCAGAGGCAGGAGACTCGCTTGAGCCCAGGAGTTGGAGGTTGCTGTGAGCTGTAATGCCATGGCACTCTACCCAGGGGGACAGCTTGAGGCTCTGTCTCAAAAAAAAAAAAAAAAAAAAAAAAAGATGTAATCCTGTGCCAGGCCTTCAATATGGGTATGGGGTCGTTGGGGTGTGGGTGGTCACCTGGAGGGGTAGCCTGGAGGTGGGAGAGACAAGGCTTGGTCTGGGGACTGCTCTGTCCCTGCTGAGAAGCCCCTGTGGTCAGTTCTCAGGCTTGGGTACCTCCTGGCTCCACTGGCTAGGGCCTAGCCAGGCCTGGTGGAACCTGGGGAGGCCCCACCAGAGTCAGGTATGTAGGGGCAAGGAAAGATGTGTGCAGACCTGAGGTCCCAGCCCAAGGACAGGGTGCCAGCTTTACCACCTGGGCCATGACACTTGGAGCCCCTGTATTTTCTTATCATTTGAGGCTGCCCAGGTGCCAAAAGGGTGGTGAAAGGACCTGAAGCCCCCTCCCAAACTCAGTGAGCCCCCTTCTGTGTGGGGCTGCACAATGAACAGAGGAGCCAGCCCCCAGCAGCCCTCACACCTTCCCTGCCCCGGACCCATGACATGGGCCTGCCTCTGTGTGCTAGCACAGAACTTGGCCGTATTTCGTTTTCCCCAGCAGCTGTTCTCAGCTCTTCTTGCTCAGCAAAGGCTCCCAAATGAAATCTCAAGCCAAGTTCATGAATTTTCAGTCATTTTCAAGTTTTGGAACACCATCAGATTCCTCAATTCCAAAACTCAACCTCAGATTAGTTTGAGAATCTGAGTCTTTCCCCAACTCCCTTCACCCTGGTTAAACCTGGGGCACTTCAGGGGGTCTGGCCCCACACTCACATCCTGCAAGCTTCTACCTGGAGTTAATGGCAGTACTGGGGCTCAACCCCCATGACCGTGTCTTCTGGGAAAGGGGGCACTTTAGGGGAAACAGGAAACTGGAAGTTTCTACAAGGGTCATGCCAGGGAAGAGAGGCAGGCCTGTGGTGCATGGACCAGTGGACAGCTTACTTGGGGCCCCCCTCAGCCCCCTCACCTCTATTGGGGGCGCACTGCTGCTCACACGTCGGCTGGCCACTTTTGCCACATAAGACCCTGTGCTATTGTCAGCAGCCAGGCAAGGCCGTGCTGAGCTCCAGATGTGTTAGAAAGTGTGGAGTCTGGTTTCCATGACAACATCTCTTTTTGCACCTTGCTCTTATCTCCATGCTCACAGCTCTCTCTTAGTGATGCTTCTGCCTCAAGTTGATGGAAGAAGAGGGTGGGTGTGAGGTCCGTATCCCTCTTGTCTCTGGGACAACAAGGTCAGGCGTAGGGAAGGGAGGGAGCCCCCCAGTCCGGTAGGAGGCAGAGGGGTGGAGAGCTGGCACGGTTGCTATGCAGAGGGAAGGACTGGGCTCCAGTAGAGGTAACCTTGGCAGAGCTGGCTCGAGGCACTGTGGAGCTGTCACCACACGTGATCTCACATTTATCAGGCTCTCTAGGAGGCTGGTACTCTTTCCATCCTCATTTACGAGGGCCCAGAAAGGTGACGTGACTGGCTCACGGTCACACAGTGAGTGGGGAACAGAGCTGGGATTTGTCCACTGTCCTTAGGTCATCACCACAGCCTGGTGTGGCACACTGCCTTGGCATACCTGCCAACAGAGAAGCGAACCAAGGCTCAGAGTGGGGGTTCTCAACCTCAGTGCTGTTGACATCAGGGGCCAGATCACCTTTTGTTGCGGGGCTATGCACTGTGGGGTGTTTAGTGTCCTGCATCCACCACCCAGGTGTTTGGTGGTGGTGGCCCTACCCCCTCTTCCCAGGTTGTGACAAGCATAGGGGTTTCGGGTTTCCAGACATTGCCAGATGTCCCCTAGGGAGCAAGATTGGCCCCAAAGAGGATGTAGAGTTTACAAAATGCTACCATGGTTGTCTCAGGAGTGAGTGAGAGAGCTGAGGGGCAGAGCTGGGCCAAGTGGCCATCGGCCATCTCATCTCACGTGGGGACGTGGGGTTGAGGGGTAGTCAAGAGTGAAGGCACTGGTGCTTCTTGGACTCAGACTGGGGGGTGGCCCTCACCTGGTCCCCTTTCGTCATGCATCCTGTCACTCAGTGTTTCTGGAGCCCCAGCCTACAGAGGTGAATAAAGGGCCCGATCTCAGAATGCAAACCGCCCCCAGGCAGAGCGAGCTCCCAGAGCCTGGGAGAGAGAACGTGAGCGTGTGGAAGCCTAGGAGATCTGGAGCTCCACCCGCAGCTTTGTGGGTGTTAAATTTTTGTTCTCAAAAACAATATGACTCTGATCTCTGCCAAAGAGAGTAACAAAGCCACACGTTGAGTGCAGTATCTGCAGAACTGACCCCTCACTGGCCCTGCACTGTTCCCTGAGGATGGGTGGCACAAGGCCGGCCCAGCACAGCCAGCAAGTGCAAGTGAGAGCCTGCCCCAAGTGAGAGAACAGCCCCACAGGGAGGGACAGGCTCAGTGTGACCCAGCCAGTGTGGGGGCCAGGATGGTCCCAGGGCCACATCCTCTCTATGCCAGGTGCAAGCTTACTTGGGCCAGGCAGGGGCCCTGCTGGGCAGGTGAGCCTGATAGTGGGCACCAGGGCCTGCCTGCCAGATGCCCTCTCCTGGTTTCTGCTCATCACCAGGTCCCAAGGCTCTGCCTTTGCCATACCCTGGCACACACCCTGTCACACATAGCCATACACCACGCACAGAGACACACACACTGCACACCAACGTACACTGTGCTCTCCAATACATAGACAAATCCACAGACGTGTCCTAACAGATACACAGCCACACTCTCCCACACACAGACACACCCTACACACCCACAGACACACCCTCACACACAGAGACACATAGACACACCCTCTTAAACACAGGCACACACTCGCATACATACATCCTCACCCACAGACACACTCACAGACATACTAACACAGAGACACACAGCATATGAAGACAGGTGACACACACAGCTGCACACTTGTGCACGTGGATGCACATGCATTCACACATACTCTAAAGTGCAGGCCCACGTGTCAGACTCTCCCTGGCTCTCCCCACCTATGCCACGACCTCTGCAGGGCACCTACTGTCTTGAGCACATATGACCCTGGCTGTGGACCCCCCTATGTAGCCTCTTACGGGCTGGACGAACCCTGGTGATCAGCTCCCCAGGGCAGGGACAGCCCTGAGGCCCCAGGATGCAGGGGCATGTGGACAGGGAAAGCACAGCTGGAGGTAAGGCACAAGGAGGCAGCCATGGCTGCTGTGTTGGTGGCCTCAGGGTGGAGAGTGCTGGCCAGCAGACGGAAAGGCAGCAGAGAAGAGGTGGGCTTGGCTGTTGGATGCAGAGGGAGGAATCCCAGAGGCCAACTGGGTGAGTATAGGGCCTGGGGGCTCAGGCCCCTGCCATGCAGTACATTTGCCTCTGGGGGGCACCTTGGGTCATGGTTAGGCCCGGTGTTGTAAGAGCACTGGACCCTGGACCCTTCCCTTCCTGGGCCAGTCCCCCACTCCAATGCACTCTTGTCTGAGCACAGACTTCTGTCCATGGGCTCACTCCAACCTTCTGGAAGACAGGACCTCTGTTTCTTTAGCTCCTAGCCCAAGATGCACACAGTGGGTGCCCAATGTATGCAGGAGCAAACCTCACAATTTGTTTCCACATGCTCTCATGGGTTGCCATGTAATAGGGTCCTTCTAGCACTCTCAATTTGGCCGTCTCCTCTATCCTTTCTCTCCCTCCCCTGGGGACAGGTACCTGTTCCCCCAGCTCATCTCATGTGCCCCAGGTGGCCTGTGAGGACCTGCAATGCAGGCGTAGGGCCCCCACACTCTCCACCCATGGTGAGGTTGTCTGTGTTCTGTTCTCTTTCTTCCAGGTTGCGGTGGCTGTGGCACAGAGATCAAAAATGGTCAGGCCCTGGTGGCTTTGGACAAGCACTGGCATTTGGGTTGTTTCAAGTGCAAAAGCTGTGGGAAGCTCCTAAATGCCGAGTATATCAGCAAGTACGTGAGAGTGCTGAGGGTGTGGCTGCAAGGGACCGTTGGTTTGAGCTTCCTCCCTCTGGGGGTGGCGGTCCTAGTGCTCCTGCCATGGCTCCTGTTCCTCACAAGGCTACTCAAAAGTGTCCGCAGAAGGCAAAACAGAGTCATCAGGTGCTGACAACAGGAATGAGGAAGAGGCCTGTGTCCATTGTCAGGGAATCCCCGTGACCATGCTCTGTCTTCTGCCCGGGGAGGGGGGAATCCCTGGACAGCTCCCACTGGCACAGTGTCCCTCTGATGTGCAGTTCAGCTGGGGTTGTGGCTGGTTTGGGGGGTGGAGGAGTGAAGTTGTATTGAGGCAGTGGGGAGCCTTCTGGGAAGAGCACAGCATCGAACAGGGGCAGCTCGAGGCCAGGAGCTGGGTGCATTCCTGGGAAATCAGGGATGTGGGCAGGCCACCCCCAAATAGCACAGGTGAGGGATGACTCAGCAAGTGAACTAAAAAGGGCCTCGGGCTCCCTCCAGCTTTTGCCAAAGTCCTTGTTCTCCATGTTCCCAAGGGATCAGAATTATCACAGGAGTTGGACAAGTTGAGAAAAGTCCTGTGATAAAACTGCAAAGAATGAAATGCACACACACATGTGCACACACGTGCCCAGGACACAGAGTTGTCCCTGGAGGAACCCATGATCACGTCCTGGTCAACCCTGTTCTCTAACTCTGCAGAGTGTCACCAGCGGGAGAAAGTGCTGGAGTGGACCTCTCTCTGCGCTGTTTCCCACAACAGCACAGGAATCTACAATTATCTCAAAGAGATCATTTTAGGTCAAATCAGCACGCCAGGATGAGCTTGCTCCCAGGGGTGCAGGCCCCTGTGATAGCAGCAGAGTGGGTGCATTGAACATGAAACCAGGGCACCCAGCCCCCAGCAGGCAGTGCTGGTAGCTGAGCCTCACTACACGTGTTACTTAGCAGCCTCAGGAGCTGTTCCGGGACTGAGGATGAGGGCGTTGATGTTGCCATGGAGATGTTGTCTTTAACCTCCTGGGTTTGCTGCAGATGCACCCACTTGTGGATTATAATGAGGGCCCCAGGTTAGTGGCATTTGGAAATAGGTCCTAAGGACCTGGTTTATATCTTCTCCTGGTGTGGAAGGAAGGACTGCCACCCTCCTGAGAGCTGGCTTCTCGGAGAGGCCACAGCCAGAGAGGGTCCCCAGCCCCAGGCTCACAGTCCTGCAGTGGGCCCCTCCCCTGCTGAAGTTAGTTTAGGTCCTATCCTTCACAGCCACAGCTATGTACAAATCAAACCAGATCAGAACAAGGTGACTTCGGCAATGCTGGAGGGGGATACACTGTAGTTGCCAGGGCCCTGCTCTGTGCAGGTAATGACACAGGTAATGTCATTACCTGGCTGGTAATGACAGTGGCCTCACTCCTGTGGGCAAGGGCCAGCCACATGCCAGGCTCTGACCCCACCTCTTATTTAGTGCTTGCTGTTGCTCCTCCCGTTACAGAGGGAGAAGCTGAGGCTCAGAGATGTTAAATGACTAGCTTAGGGTCCTGCAGCTGGAATGTGGCATTTCAGACCTTTTGAGTTCAAGCCTGTTTACTTAACCCCTATTCAGCCAGCACCTCCCTTTACTGAACAAGGCCCACCAACCAAAAACCTCAGGGCCACCTATGACCTCCACTCCCCATCTCGTGGCATTGTCCTGTTGCATAGATTTCTTAATAGAAAATGAAAGGCTCTGAATCTTTGCATTCCTGCCCCCCCATGACGCAGCACAGAGCTGTTTTCCCTGTGGCTCGTTTGTTGGAGACTCGGCCTGTAGACAGCTTGATCCTGGGTAGGGCCCGGATGACTGTCTCATCAATGACAGTGAATATGTGAATATGCACGAAGAGAGCAGATGCATCCCTGCGGCCATCCTGCTCCTCCCTGCTCACAGGAGGCTGGGGCTCCTTCACATGTGGCCGGAGCCGGCCTCTGTCACCTTGTGTTCTGGAGGAGGAAACACCTGTCTAACCCACCTGCCTGCACCTGACCGTCTTGTCATCCATGAGTCCAGTCCCTGAAGTGGGTGCCCTGTTGTACCCCCTTTCTGGTTCACAGTTTTCTAATATACTCCAGATGTTGAACTCTGGATGGAAGGAACCAGAAAGAAGCCAGGTCTGTGGAAATTTCTCTTATTTCTCAGAGGCACCCCCCATGAGCAAGTAGCCTTGCCTCTGCTTGCCTCAGTTTCTCTGTCTGTAAAATGGGATGATCTGTAGGGCCTTTTCCTTGGGGCTCATGCCTGTAAGCACCCAATGAACACTCCCTATTGAGATTGCTATCTGGAGCAGGAGGAGGTGGGCATGTCCCCCACTTTGATGTAGACCCTCTGGTTGGGGAGAGTTGTCAGACCCTGGGGTGAAGCACCTGGCTATCCTTGGGGCACCCCTGCCCCATCCTGACTGTCTATCTCACTGCAGGGATGGGCTGCCCTACTGCGAAGCTGACTATCACACCAAGTTTGGCATCCGCTGCGATGGCTGTGAGAAGTACATCACGGGGCGGGTGCTGGAGGTAAGCGGGGCCCCTGAGGGCCTGTGGCCCTAAGCATGCCCCCCACCCCCACTGAGGAGGCCTTACTACTCCCTTTGGAAGTCACTGTGATGTTCCCATGTGTTTGTACAAGAACCTGCCCCACCTGGGCTTTGCCTGGCCCTCCTCCTAGCACCACCAGGGGACACCTTCCTCTGCCTTCTGGGGACTGATCAATGCCACCTCCACCAGGAAGTCTGCCTTACACTGTGCTCTCCTGTGTCACTTCCCAAACTGAGAGGGTCAGAGAAGAAGAAGGACTTTGAGATCTTGGGGCTCAGCCTCTTGATGTCTAGACTGGGGCTCAGACCTGGAGGGTGGGAAGTGAGCCCAGGAGGCCGGGGCTGTGCCCATGTCCCCACGGCCCCCTGGCAGGACTGTCCCCAGAGGAGGCCCAGGGTGGTCATCTGGAGGCAGGGTAAACGGCATCTGTGGGGGCATTCCAGATCCTGACAGTGCGTTTCTTGGCCTGGGTGGAGGGTATGCGGGTGTGTTCCCTGTGTGAACATGGCACACGCTCTGCACTATACTTTGTTCACTGAGATAAATCCGGTGGCCCCAGGATCAAATCCCACCCACCCAGTGGACAGGCCCATGCCACCCTGCAGCTTCCTCCACTTGGGACTGGATACTGAGACAGGCAGATAGACTGTGGGGAAGGGACAGATGACCAGAGGGTCTCAGAATGGGGATGGCTATGTACGGGCCAGAGGCATGGAGCCCCTCCTGAGGAGGTCACCAGCCTGGGCAGGCCAGGTGGAGATGAGGCTGAGGGGAGTGGGCACTGGGAAGGCTTTGAGGTGGGGTTGCCTGGCTGCTACTGAGGGACAGGGTGGGACAGGGCAGGACAGGGAATTCCTTATACCTCCCAGAGCTCCCTCCCCAGCTCCCAAAGCACCTAAGGGGGGTTCAGAATGCTTTGGTGGAATTGACCAGTGGACACCAAGGTGCTTTCTTCTGTTCACACCTCCAGGGCCCCCAGCACAGAGATGCACCTGTACTTCCAACCACCTTCTTTCAAATCCCTCCCTCAGCCCTTCTACCCGGGGTCCCTCATTTCCCCAGTTGGAGGGTCCAGAGTCATGCATAGGCCACCTCCTGTTTTTATTTTATCATACTTCATCGTACCATAAGCTCTTCCTCTGAAATGCAGGTGCTCTGAAGCTCACCCAGATCAACACCAAATGCAAGTGCTTCCACCCCTCCCCCTACACACACCACCTCCTGCCACTCATCTGGGCCAGCAGGCGTCTGACAGCAGGTGGCAGAGCTGGCCTTGAGCCCAGGTGGCCAGGCAGTCCCAACCTCTTGTTCTCTCCTGGTGCACAGACATGGGTTAGCATTTTTGACTTTATAGCATATCACCTGGTTGTACCTAAGTGCCCTAAAGTGGGTCCGCCCTGGGCAACCATTGTCAGAGCATCACTGCTTACCAGTGTATGAGCCTTGCCCAGCCTGACTTCCTGCCATCCATGGGCAGCAGCCCCTGCACCAGGAAGGCCCTGCTCTGGGTGAGGCTGAACTGACCCATCCCTACTGCTCTGGGCCCTGGCTTGCACTATACCCATTGGGCCTGGTCGTGGTTAGAGTGATAGGGAGACCCCATCTGGGAGGTGCCCCCAGCTTAGTGCTGGCCTCATGGTGACTGAGGTGGGTGGGCTTCTGTTGCCAACACAAGGCTGTCAGTGGCCCCCTTGATGGACTGGGAGGGCAGGGGCAACCTAATGTCTGCGTGCAGGTTTCCTTGGTATAGAATGCCAAGTCAGAATTGGGGGCACAGTGGCTGGGTGTAGGGCCCCTGGTATACTTCTGTTCATAAGGAGGGGATTGTCTGAGCTGCAGGGGCGGGAGCAGAACAGGTCTGGGTTTTCTTCCTCGCCTGTGTAGGGGGAGAAAGGGCCTCCCAGAGAAGATTAATGCTTTTGTTTTCGCCCCTGCCGGGAGGCGAGTCTTCCAGGAGGGCTGGGTCGGCGGGCTCTGCAAAGCTCTGAGCAGCCTCCGCTGTGGGTGCGAGGCGGGAGCCGCGGGCGGAGACAGCCCAGCTCTGCAGAAGGAGCTGCTGCCACTGAGGTGGCACCGCCTGAAGCTCGACCCAGCCTGCCGGCACCCATCCAGGCGACATGGGCTCTCAGAGCCGCCAGAGCAGGTGACAGACCGAGAACTGAGGGTGAGCACATCCACCCTCACGGGTACACACTCCAGCCATCAGGCACTCGGCAGGCCCCAGGAGTGGGCTCTGGTGCCAGGTCACCGTGCAGGTAGGAAGTCTGGCCCACATCTCCAAAGGGCAGATGGGGACTGGTGGGACGCCGCACTGCTGCAGGCGGATGTTCAGGGGCAGGTCAGGCACAAGCCCTGTCCCCTAGGCACCTGTCCCTGAAGAGCCGGCGCCAGGCTGCCCCGCCCGCCCTCGGGAACCCTCATCTGTGCTGTGACCGTTTGCAGCAGGCACAGTGCCATCTTCAATGCTGGGTGCCAGCAGCGCCCGCCTGCCGGGGAAGTGTGCATGCGGCAGCAGTGACAGTGGGGTTCTTCCTCATCTCTCTCCGTCCTCCTAAATGCGCAGTATCCTCTGACGTGTTTTCCTGTACCTAGCTTGTCTCTGCCTGCTCCCACTGGGGTCCCCTGGGGGCGTGGGAGGGGCTGACATCCATGCCTGCCTGGGGGTTGGGGGGCTGCACTGTGGGAGCAGAGGCTGCACTGCCCAGTCCTGGAGAGGGAGGGAGTCACCCCCACTGGGGGCTGGGATGTGGCTGGTGAATTCAGAGGGATCAGAGGTGTGACCAGAGGCTGGACTGCTGACCACAGCTGGACAAAGGGGAGTAGGTGGTAGCTGGGACTCTGAGCCCAATCCTTCTAGTCCGGGGACGACCTTCTCTCCAGAGCCCACTGATTTCCCTGCAGGGTTGTGTGTGTGTGGCAGAGGTGGGGCTTTCTTTCTCAGCCCCATCCTCTGTTAACCCTGCAGTGCCTGGTGTGGCTTGTGTGCCAATATTTGTCTCCATGGTAACAAGGAGCCCAGCCAGCCTCCCTCTAATTAATTCCTGTCTCCTCTCTTCCCTCCCTCACTCCCTCCTTTCTCCCTTCATTCCTTCCCCTTCCCTCCCTTCAGCCACTTACCTTGCCCCACCTGGGGCAGGTGCTGGGTTTGAGGGATGAAGGTGAAGGACTGTGGGCTTGGGGGAAGGCCACAGTAGAGGGGCTTACTCTGCCCCGAGTCAGGGGTCATTAGACATGTCTTCATTTCAGAATAAACCATCTCTTGCAACTGTAGGACATTTGTTCATTTTCTTCCTCCCACCTACTTTTGGGAGCTTTGCATTTTACCCCCCAAGCACAGATGACTCTCATTGCTGGGAGAAAACAAACCATGTTTCCTAACAAATACAGCATTTCCAAAGGATAGAGGTGAAGTCAACTTCTCCGGCCCCCAACTTCTCTCTCTCTCAAAAATAAATGTATTAATTCTAAAAACACACTCAAAAAGAATACGGTTTTCATAAAATAAACAAAAAGTATTCGTAATGAATACCACCACCCAAACTAACTCCTGTTAGCATTTAGAAATCATACTTTTAGGCTTGGTGCCCCTAGCACAGTGGCTACAGTGCTGGCTTCATGCACCAAGGGTGGCAGGTTCAAACCCAGCTTGGGCCTGCTAAAACAACAATGACAACTGCAACAAAAAAATAGCCGGGTGTTATGGCAGGTGCCTCCTACTTGGGAGGCTGAGGTAAGAGAATCACTTAAGCCTGAGATTTTGAGGTTGCTGTGAGCTATGACACCCTGGCACTCTACCATAGCGAGACTCTGTCTCAAAAAAATAAAGTAGAAATCATACTTTTAGATGTTGCACACACTTCAGACAACACACCCAGAGACATGCACACACGGACACAGACACACATAACACATGCTGACACACACAGAGACACTCACACACCCCAACACGTCCATACTTGCCATCAACCTGGCTCTCCTGCTCCTATCACATCCTGACCCAAACATGCAGCTCGGCTCTAGCCAGTTCCTTCAAGTGTGGGACCGTGGAGTCCTCCGCTGTGCCCCTGGATGCAGGGACAGCAGCACCATCCACTGGGTTTGTGGCAAGACCTGACTTAGAGCCTGATGCACAGTGAATATCCATGGGTAGGATTGTGGTTAGCTGTTCCCAGTCTCGTTCTTGTGGGACCCCTTTGGTCCTCCAGGGATAGCTGCGGCAGGGGCACTGTGCTCCCTTACTCAGGGCCTCTTGGGTGGCTCCTCTGCAGCTGACACTGCTCTGGGACCAAGTGTAGTGGATAACTTGGCAGCACTGCCTGGCTGCCCTGCAACTCACACCCCAGGTGGGCTAGGAGGTAAGGGAGAGGGAGAGAGAGCAGTGGGCTGGATGGGTCAGGTGCTGGGAGGAAGCATCTTCCCAGGCCTGCGAGGACATAGGCCACAGTGGGGAGGGCCGGAGTGAGGTGCTAGGCCCTTCTTCTCAGGGTGAAGAGCCTTTGAGGACCCTGTATCAGCCACTGAGTGCCCCTAGGGTACCTGACCCCTGCTCAAGGCTTCAATTTGCTTCTCCATAAATTCCATTTTCTCTGTGCACCATGGAGTTCGGGTCCTTTAAGATCTTAACTTAGTGCTAGAAATCAAAAAGGAAACTAAAGCTTTGAGTCAGCAAGGGAATGCACAGTGAGCTGGAGGCAGGAGGTGGGCAGATGTGGGCTGCTGTCCGGGGAGCAGAGAGGCCTTTGCTCTGGGTCTCGTAGGTAGAGTTGGGGAGGAAATAGCACCAGCCTCAGGTGTGCAAGGCCCATTGTAGAGAAAGGCTGATATGTCACTGGGTTGCCCATGAGGAGGGGCCTCTGCTCCAGCTCCATCTGCGGGGAAGGGAGGTGCTCCTGGTGGCAAGGCAGCTTTGCCACTGGCTGAGGACCTGTGTGCACTACGCTACCACAGGCTGTATTTGTGCTTCCTGACGAGCCCTGTTC